ATAACGATATGGTATTTAAATAAAAATCGCTGTGTTACCAAAACGCCAAAGTAACCAGAGTGACTCGCTGTCATCCTGCCCACTCCACTATACTGCAACTTTCTCCTCCTGTTTAGGTTGCATGCAGTGGGACAGGGACCACGCGACTCTTTCAGGCTGGCAGAGCACCTGCTTTATTGTGCACACTCAGAGAAACAATTAAGAAAACAGATTTCATTGGAGGGAGATCAGCTCAGATGCCTCCACAGGTACCTTCCAACCTAAGTTATTCTACAAGCCCATATTTCTTCCTCTCTAGCAAACACGCAACTGCAAGCTAGAATGTGTGCTGAATGGGACAACAGATCCAATTCCCTCCCAGCTCCCTCTTTGCGTTGTCCTAGGCTACAGATCCCATAGGGGACAAAAAAAATCAAGAGTCCCAGCCTCTTCACCCATCATGGTGGACAGATGGAATAAGCATCCAGTTAGCAGGCACACATGATCTGAAAGGGAGTAGGAGAAAAGCACTCTATTTGGATTAAAACTCAGTGCTCTTACAATGTTAACACAGTCAATTTATTTTAAATGCACAATGAGTTTAATATGCAAGGATTCTTCCTTGAGAGTGCTGAAGTCCTAGGACAGGACCAGAGGCAGAGGGAGACATTCTTGGAGACATTCGGCACTCAACTAAACAAGGCCCTGAGCAGCCTCAATCTTCCCTGCCTTGCACAGTGGCTGAGCCAGACAACCTGCGAAGGTCCCTCCCAACCTAAATTAGGCACTGGTTCTCTGAAACACGCACTGCCTTTCATGGCATTTCCACCATATTCCCACAGCTCACTGCAGCTGCTCTGGAAAGGGAGCTGCACAAATGGTGAAGCTTACCATTGCAAAACATACACGGCGGGAAGGGAAATAGGTCAACAAAAGGGAGTGGGGGATGATCTGGATTGAGTTAGGAGGAGAGAATCTCATCTAAAAGGAGCTGAAGACCAGCTGCTAGCTCAGTCACGCAAGCTGGGCTGGCTGCCAGGAGCGCCGTGCTCAGCTGAGCCGGAACGACAGAAAGGGAGGACTCAGCTGTAGGTGGATGAAGGTTGGGTTTCAGCAAATACCACAGGCCCCCAAAAGTCTGGGAATTCATGATCTAGCCTGTACAGACATGCCCTTCGTACATGCACTACGGTCCTGTGTGCACAGACGCAGTGCCGTACATTAGAGGGACACAATTCCTTCCTTCCCTCCACCCCTAGCCGCAGGGGTGACTAAATGCATCTGTTCTAACTTCCTATAAGATGACAATAGTGAGAGTATTAGGGGAACTCCCACCTGCTCTTGGTAAGGGTAAATCCGCTATGACACAGCTTTCAGTCTTGCATACGAAATGGGCAAGCTTGTCTTCATGGTGAGGTCAGAAAGCAAAGCAGATTTCTCATACCTGAAAAAGTCCCTTGGTGCAATGCAAAGAGCTCCAGCACTTACCCATGAGGATCACGAACACCAGGTCTTCCTGGGATGCTCTAATCAGAGACCAGCCAAGAGGGACAGAGCCACCACTCTGGCATGACCAAACACAACCTATTTCACACATGCCCCTTGTGACACAAGTCAAAAGCCTCCTTTCTGTGCCTTCAAGGGCAAATTCTCTGAACTGAGCCTCTGAACTAGCAACTCGTCTTTTTCCAGCCTCTCTTCAATCACTCAACTTCCTTCCTGTCCACCTACAGAGCTGCCTTTGTGAGAAGGTGCTTTGGGTGTAAAGCATACAAACGTGCAAGATTTGCAGCTTTATCAAACAGTGAGGCCAAACGAGGAAGGCAGTGAATGAATCACTCCTGTATTGCCCAAAAGCTGCCGCAACAACGCTGCACTCCATGAAAGACTTTCCAATTAAATCTGTTTTCAGTCCCCCTTCCTAAACTGCCACAGACAGGGATGTCCACGTATCCATCGCGCTGGCTTCATTGCGACCCTTGCAGAGTAGCGCATGGGGATCTCCAGCAGCGTGCACACACACCACGTGCAAAGACGACAGAGCATGCACACACATGGGGTCAAGCCCATGGCTTACCCCCAAAGTTGAATCAACTTTGTACTTTAGGCAAGAAGATCTCAAGATGAAATTCACGTAGCTGACAGAGCAATGGACTGCTCTCTCCCAACTTCAGCCATTAAAGAGTTCTTTAAATAGCACAGCATCAAAATGCATACATAATAATTGTGTAACTGCACTCAGTACTTAAAAACCAGATGAGTTTCAAGGGTAACTGCAGACAGAGTACTTAGGAGCAAATTCTTCTACCAGTTTGACCTTTTTGACTTACTAAAAATATTCATTTCCCAATAAAAGAGTGCAGTGAAGGCAGAGCTGTTCAGCATTTCCAACTACATGCGTGCATTTGGAGTGGCCAAAAATAAACCTTACAAACACATAAGATGAAACTTGCAGTGCTGCGGGGCCTGATTCTCTGCAGGCTGTGAATACGCAGCCACAGCACAGGTCAGCCGCGTGCCTCTGACCCAGCGCACAAAAGAGACTGGGGTACGGACACAAGAGGCAGGTCTCCAGGGGGTTAACGGTGAGACTGAAGGTGGATCCAGCTGTATACATAGACGCATAGACTAGCTGTACATCTATGTACAGCTGTGTACATAGATGTACAGCTGGATGGTTGAACATAGTCTTTGCAAGGCAGGTAACACCCCTTATCACACCTGGTCCTCACTCAAAGTGCTGCAGTCACTCATTTCTGTCTCAACACTGCACTAAAGGCACATGCTGAGTTTCACACTGACCCCCTGATTATTTTTAGAGGTTAGTGTTTCAGGATACAGTGTCCATGTATTTGATTGGGCCAATGGGCTTTGCTTCAAAGTTGACTGCATTGACACATATTTCACTTCAATGGTCCCATACCCTCAATCCCAATTTCTCAGTACTGTCAAAACAAGTGTTTTCAAGAGGTCACTGACAGCAGCAGCATAGGAACATACGCAGCACAGCCATGCAAGGTCAGGCCAAGTGTCCGTCTAAAGCCAGTATCTTATTTACAAGAGAGGATGCCTGGCAATGGGTACAGAGTACAGGATCACTCGACAGTCATATCTCCCAGGACAGAGTCATGGCATGTGCTATGAATAACTCGGAGGCTTCTGGTGCCAGAGATGCCTTCGCATTTAATGGTTCTGTATCCATCTCCATATCCACCCAATCATTCTTCCAGAATTTATCCAACTCATTTTTTAATCCAAGCAAACTTTTAGTGTTCATAACTGCACGTGACAAAGAGCTCCACAGCTGAAACACATGCTGTGTGACAAGCCATCTTCTTCAGTTTATCTCTAAACCTGCCATTTCCTGGGTTCACTTGATGCCCCATAGTTCTTGGGCTAGAAGAGTGAACAGCTTTTCCCTATCCTCTTTTTCCATGCCAATCCTGACTCTACAGATCTCTTCCATGCCCTTCCTACCATCCTCTCTTCCCACAAACACAGTGGGATCCACATCCAGCTGCTCAGTCCTTGCACAGGAGCTGTTCCAGACCCCTCACCTGTGCTTGTGGTTTGCAGCATCTCCCAAAGTCCAGAAAATGCTCCACAACCGAGACACCAGCTAAATATCTTCATCCTGAGTAGGTAGAAATCTTCATGCCTTCAAGGTTCTGTGAACTGTCATTGGGGCTTGAAACTCAACTTTTGTAAACCGTCAGGATAGCAATTCCAACAAGTGACATCAAGAGAGAAGTCTCCACTATTACCAAAACCACATAAGAGCCATTAGAGATGTGGTAAAGAGACTGTCTGAAGAGACTGGGAAGACATGGAATGGCCCAATACCCATCTGGACTTCTCCTCCCAGTGCTGGCACAGTCCCAGTCCTGGTGCCACCACCTGTACTCCTCAGTCAGCTCAGAAGCTGTTCCCTCAGCACCACAAAACTGAGCAATCCGGAAATACACACTCTCCTCCAGTGCACAGGCTGAATGCACAGCATTTGCAAATCTAGCTTCTTCTAGCTGATCAGCTGCATGTACAACTGCGATAGCAGCACAAAAACGATTAATAAAGTCCATTTCAATCAAACTAAACAAACAAAAAAAAAAAATTGTATATTGCAGATACTCTGGGAAAGTCATCCTCAAAAGCTCCATGCCAAAGCAAGGTCACAGTACCAGAACAAAAGCCAAATCCACCGTGTTGTGGGTCAGGCTAAGAAAGAGGGAGAGCGCATTAAATTCCAAAGTTGGCACATGATCAAGAAAAGCTGCTTAGTGAAATCCACCGACCCAAACAGAGAAGGGAAAGCCTTGTACAGAAGCC